TGTGGAAACATTCCACAACAAACGGGACACACAAGTGAGCATTTGGCTGCAGCAGACAGAACGCACCAAGGACAGCACAAATCCCTCCACTGGATCCAAGGGAGGGTACGACCGAGCGTCGTACAGACTTGTTGATAATACTTAGGAAACTGGCGAAGATGCCTAAAAGGACGCAAAGAGTTTGGGGATTAGCAGAAACAGGAACAGAAATAATAAACAAGGTCAGCAATTAGACCAGTTCTACAAGAGAAAGTTACCAATCACTAGCTCGAATTAGGGTGCACGCAACGTTTCCTACCCAAATGGCCTAATTAGCCCTGTTAAAGATTGCTCCAGGCTTCGCACCTGCAATATAAACTGCTGCTTCCAGATTACGTGGGTTTAAACCGACACCATGAAGGAAGCACGAGGGCTAGGATACTGTCAGGTTGCCCAAGCCTATACAGGGAGAAGTCGGAAGGCAGAGGTCAGGTTCGAACCACGGACCTTCCGGTCAGTAGATTCGCGCTCTAACCACTTGGGTCATCTCACCCCTGAACCAACACCCCATACTTGCAGACCAGTCAGTCGACGTGGTAGATAAATTTGTTAACTTTGGCAGTTATTTAAGCTCCGAGGGATGACTGGAGACTAGAAAAATTCCCTAATCAAGAGGACCAGGAAAGCTTCTGGCGGCGGTGTGTGTCAAGGATAGAGTATACACTGTGACGGTGCGGTCCGATCTGCTTTATAGATCAGAACTTGGCCTATACGCGCAGAGAACGTACGAAACATATTGGCGGTTGGTCATGGGTGTCTCTGAATCGTTGGCTAGGCCTGGCGAGTAGACCGGATTACCAATGCTGAGATCCACCAAATGGGTTGTGTGGTACGAAGAGATAACCGTTCCATCAGAAAACTCGATATAAATTACGGCTGTGTCATCCCTACATCAGAGAGCAGGAGAAATAAATTGTGCGTTTCAGGTGAACAGTACGTCAGCAACTTACCGCCTCCGACGAAGAGGTAGATGAAGTCACCCGGACCCAGAATGTTGATCAAAGTCGATGTGAAGCTGTGAAGCACATACATGTTGATCGCCAGGTGAAAAGGACTATGATGCGAGAATACACTCAGGAGCATAGACAAAGCGGGAGTGGCTGGGATAAAGGTAGAAAAATTATGAAAACCGACGCAAAGAGAACATTCGGAGGATTGGTGTTACAATTGGGAAACCATCAAAAAACATGCCACGAATCGTATAATCGCTATTTCATTAAACTGATATGCGGTCGACGAGGTGTCCAAATTGATGACCAGTCTTAGATAAGGAGCGCCAAATTGTGCTATTCAGCAGTTCCGACGACCTGTGAAGCTCTGATCTCGACTGACTATCCAGAGGCAGGGGACAAAACCATGGGCAACTTTTTTTTCCATTTCTATCACACGGTCGTGCCATTACAGACTCTTCAAAATTAAAAAAACTATCGAGTTTGAACAGAAATCCTCTACTGGTGAAAGGAAGAAGGTCTTTACTGCGGACAGTTACAGACTACAGAACAGGGAAGCAAAACTCTTCTCGAACGCGTCTTGCTGAACTGTCCTGGATATTCATTGACTATCACTCGAACGTAAACGAACGCTACAAAGCAATTCCACAAATCCCATAATAAATCTCACTTTTCCATAGACGCGGAGCGGAATTACGAGGAAACCACGTACTACTCGCATGTCTTATCAGTAGTATTCACCGTTAACTGGTACTGAAGACTGGACCAGAAATTATGGACGACATACGGTGCATTTTAGCTGAACTGAGTAGTATGCATGAGATACATGATATTCTGTCATACTTTCGGAAATTACGGACTATCATCGGCCAAGACACCTGTTGACTCGTTGGTTTCGATGAAGCTGTAATTCCCTAGTACTACACAAATAATGATAACCTAACCGCCATCTTCGAGCGAAAGACACAAGAACTAAAAATTGAACAATTTTACTACGAAAAATGCACAAAATCCGAGGCTTACAGAACTCTTCGTTCTCTCCAGGAACCCTGACCAGGTCCATTCACCTTACGCCTTGGTTTTTCTGGAATTACTTCCAGGATGCTGACATTTCCGCCATTGGAGGCGAGATAGCAGTGCTTAGAGCAAGAGTTTACTGACCGGAAGGTCCATGATTTGAAACTGACCTCTGTCTAGGCTTGGGCATTCTGGCAGTATCCCAGCCCTCGTGCTTCTTTTGGCTGGCATGGCAGCTAGGCACCGAAAGGTTGTTACAGCTGAACGATTAATTTTCCTATTTTTATTTTTATTACTGCCATTCACCTCCTAGAGGATTGCCGCTTTTTGTCAAATTGAAATTAATATGTTTAACTCTAAGAGATGCTTGGTTGTTGGTTTGTTTTCTGAGCTTGGCAGTTGGATTGCAGACGTTTCACCACCAATCAAGGTAACATCGTCAATGCGGAGGGTGGGTGAATTTTCCTCTTCTCCCTGTGCTTGTATGGTTTCTAAACGGCACCCAGTAGCTCTGAAGTGCTGGATTAGTCCGGAGGCGGTCTTCGCGTAGTTTGATTGGCCATCTGTGAATCTGAGTTGATCTCATTCCTTTATATCCGGTTGGTTCGTTGGGCGTATTCAGTTCGACAGTTCCGTGCCTCTATTGTAATCGGGCCGTTTCCTTCTTGATTTGTGGTCTGAATTTGTTCACTTGATTGGACGATTCAGTGGCCTTCTGTTTTTTTAGTGGTTTTCTTCCTTTAAACTCATTGGTTGGCGCTAGGTTACTTGATTTCCTATGTAACTCAGGGTCACGTGACTGGGTGCTTCTTTTGCTCGTAACGGATGATAGATTGGGTTAATGTCAATGTGTTCATTGATTGTTTTTCTGTAGAGTACCACGCCTTGGCAAACTCTCGCTCCCGCTCTGTTCTTGCGTGATCAAGTATTTGAATACTGTTCCACCTGAACTGATGTACTCTTCTCTGTCTTCTTGGATTGAGACAAGTGATATTGGGTCTTGTCATCTACTGGCAAGCTTGTGCTCGTGTATTCTGGAAGCAAGTTTTCTTCCAGTTTGGCCAAAATGGTGTTTGTCACAGTCGTTACACTCAAGTTTGTAGACCATGTTCGTCTTCTTCACTTTATCCAATCTTCCATTAGGTTTCGAGAGTTTTTCTCGTGTTTGCAAGCTTGAAGGCGACTGTAATTCCATGTTGCCGTCTTCACAACGGCAGCGTAATCTTACTCTATTCTGGTTGTGTTGACAAATCAGCTTGGTGATGGTTTGGTAAGCATCTCCATATAGTGGCCGCTATTTCGGAATGTCTTCCCTCATTTCTCTTCTTCGCCTCTGTAATTTGAGGGAGATTATCTAAACAGCCATACGGCACAAACTACGTGCTGTAATCGGTCCCACGTACCCAGTCTCACCAATAATCCTGCTCTCACCGACAAATCAAGTCGATCTACGATGCATTGTACCCAATATCTCCGCCAACATGGCTCAGGTGGTAAGAGCGCAAATATACTGACCAGAAGGTTCGTGGTTCGAATCCGACCTCTGCTTCTCGACTTCTTCTGTCTAGACCTGAAAAACCTGGCAGTATCCCAGCCCTCGTGCTTCCTTCTGGTGGCATGGCAGTTAGGCACCGGAAGGGTGCTACAGCTGAACGATTTTCATCTCCGCCCCATACATTGTGTAACAATTCACATACAGTTGCGGTGAAACATACATTGGCAACACAGATAGCATTATATGCGAACGAATCTCGGAACACTTGATTTGTTGTTTGGGTCAGATAAACAACAGACCAACTGATGACCTGCATGGTGACACACTCGAAAACCGGTCGATTGTCACACACACTCTATCCACTAGACGTGAAGTTGACCCCAATACCGCGTACTGCCCAGTGTCAATTCAAAATTGGTAGCATTCAGTGAGGCCATGTTGATCACTCAATACAGACCTGACTTGTGCGCTTGGCTGTTGCGCAGTACGATTCGCAAGGAACTGACCGGTAATCTAGTGGATGTCTGGTTATTGAAGGTGCGAGATTGCAAATTGGCCGTCGACCAACGTTTTCCCCGACAGATGTGGATCACATGATTTGAAGTCTGTTCTGCCAAACGTTCCGCACAGTATCTATCTCTTCTGTCTATGTGAGTGTCCCAAGAGCTGTAGAAAAGCTCGGCGACTATAAGAAAGACGAATAGATTAGATAACCTAGTCTCACCTTTGTGCAGAGCGAATCTTCTGATGGTCGGTTGCAATACAAACAGGTTTTAAAACTGAAGCGAGCTTGCACCTTATGATTATGCTAACTTGGTCGTCTTCTGGCTGGCTGGCTGAAGCCAGCTGCATTGTAAATTTCAGTAAAGTGATCTGGACAACAGTTCTTGAACGTCGTTTTCATCAAAAATCTCTCATCTTGCTCCAGTTGATCAGGGTTGCATAGTCTCTTCGCTCTGTAGAATGGTCTTACGAGCTATGGGGGTTTAACCAAAGGGTGTTAATATTGACGCCCCGCGTGTTTTTTGCGGTAAACAGAACACTGAAGGGACCCGTCGAACTCGGCGGACAGATCTTTAGACAGTTAGAACGACTTATCGAGGCCACACCGCGAACATAAACAGCGATCTAAAAACCAAGTTCAGTAGTATAGAGGAAAGGACACGCTACGCTGAACGAACGCTTTTGATGTAATAAACCCTTATGCTAAGGAGAACAAGTGGTGGAAAGAACGCACAACAAATAGGTCAAGTTCACGCGTCGACGAAAACCGCGAAAGCAGTTGACAAATTTGTAACGCCTCATGAAACTTACGACCGTAAGGGCTATTAACAAAATAGCGCAAGAATATCGATTGAAGTGGGCTGCGATGGCCGATAAAGACAACGAGGTTGCAAGCAACGATAGCTAGGATAGAGAACACAAGGTTTAGTGACACACCAAATACAACATACCCCAGAATACATCGTTTGCTTGGAAGGGTCTGCCTAACAAGGATTCTAGTTTTTTTCGAACCTAGTAATCTGAGTTAATCACATAGTGCAACCAAACGAACGCACCTGCGTGGAGAAGCGCAAACGATCACCAGATCCGTCGTGCCCATGTTTTAGCCTCCACGACCGCGCGCGCCAGTGTTCGAAACTCCAAACCGTCGAACCGAATAGTAATGCGCTTACCGAAACGAAGGTGAACAAACCACATCGTCCTATGACTTTCCCTGAGACAGGAAGAACTCCTTGGACGTTCGCATGCCGCTGTAGCGCTCGATGCTTGCTTCGGGCCCAGCTGGTATTGCCGGAGTAGAACTGACAGAGGTCTGAGAGGAACAAAGTGTTGCATTGAAAAGAGGCGAACTTGCCATCTGGTTGATTAGTTGTATTAATTAGCCCATTATATATATATATATATATAATATTAACGGTGTTGGCGAACGCAGTAGGGAACATCCTCAGGTGCACAATATGGTTATGACAACCGGTTGGTTCCAGGCTAGAGCCTGTGACCCTTACTGCGACCGATTCCCGCGCAAAAAGGAACATTTTCTGGCGTATACTATTGGCACTTCAGTTTGATGTAGCTACGCTACTTCATTTGAATAAACGAAGGTGTAACAAGAGGGGAGGAAAAAAGTGCTGCCACCAACATCATCATGATCGTCAGATCCCACAGGTACCAACGTCATAATGAGAGTACTGACAATCAGCTGTTGCGGGAAGCTCGCATTTGAATAAAGCCCTACGATGAAAACGGAGCGAAACGGAGTGAAAAGTGATAAAGCCGGCCAAACAGAGATACCCGAAGTTTACACATCCTCGAGCACCTAGTCAATATGGACAGAAAATGATAGCACGTGCACTACTGATGTCGGTGGGCGGCTAGCTCTTTCAGCAGCCTTAGCCAAACGCTGTGAGGACACTGAAGATTACGACTGAGACAGCTGTGTTCTCAGCCCTGCTAAGCTTCAATTTGACAATCATATGCGTACAGGCCTTCGTCCGATGTCAACCCGATACCGTCTGGAAGGCCATACACTCAATTTGAAGTGACACTTGACCGAAACAGCTGTGTAGGTCCTGTATCCGTACACTGCTGTGCGCAGAGGAGCGTGCCTCATATTCGAATTCGGAAGTGGAATAATGACAGTTGACTACGGCGTTCGGTTTAGCGGCGTGTTGCTTTGTCTTGAGTATATCTCTAAAACGACTGTCCTTAATCAACCTGTGCCATTCAACATAAAACACCAAGTACTCTTTCAAATGGTTGAGAGAACGATGCATTGTCGTCGTCATTCAGCTGTAGCACCATTCCGGTACCTAACTGCCATGTCACATGAAGGAGGCACAAGGGCTGGGATATTGCCAGGTTGCACAAGCCTATGCAGGGGAAGTCGAGAGGCAGAGGTCGGGTTCGAACGATGCATGGATTTTTGCGATCTCGGCAGCACACTGTTCATCCCAAACACTGGACAAAGAAATAAGGGCATGAATAGCAGAAGTCAGGGTGACATTTGGATGCTTTAAGAGAGCCCCCGGGGGCATTCAGCATTTGTACTTAGATACCATCACACTTGAAACGCATTATCGCAGTGACGAGGTAAGATAGGAAAAATATGTTCAGCTTACGGAGACGATATATATGACCCGACCCACGAAGAATCAAACCGGATACGGAGTAAAGAAGTTATACTTTCCCTGGTCGGTACGGGAAGGGATAATGATGCAAGCTAACTGCAGTCTTGACTGAGCAGTCATTAACAGTATCTTGAAGATGTTCCGCGCCATCCCCGAAAACGAGCGCCGAACAGCCCCAAGAGGCCCAAAAGGCTTTTCTAATAGCCCCACAACAGAAATAATAAATAATTGTTCAGCTACGGCATCTTTTTGGTGCATAGCTGCTGCGCAGCTGGAAGGTTAAGATACCGTCGGGTTATCTAGACCAAGCCAAGGACGATCGGAAAGCCAGGGTCGGGCCTAAACCACGGATCTTCCGGTCACTAGTTTCGGGGCTTACTCACTGAGCTAACTCGTGACCTGCCAATTGACCTTCCTGACAGTACCATAATCAGACTACGTTACGTGTCACGGGAACTGCAGGATTTTCCCCGAAGGTGACTGCGGATCCAACGGAACAATCGCACTAATTGGGAGTCCCGAAAGGGCGAAAAATCATCAACGTCGGCAGCACAACAGTAATTTGAAATTCAGCTGGCTATCTGCAGTTGCTCAGTTGGATTACCGGTTTCCAACACAACCCTAAACAGAGAACTTGGACTCTAACGGCTCCGGGAAGAGACGAATGCCTTTTCTTCCTCAAGCGTCAAAGAGCTGCTTTGACGGAAGAAATCCCATTTACTCTATCTAGATGTAGCAGGCCACTTATGAGAACTCTTCAACAGCTCACGACCAGTTCCAACCTTCTTGGGTCTCATCAGGTAGACGCTGTTTCCAAGTTTCTGTCTATGTTCGGCTTGAACCCGAATTGAACGGGATTCGCCAAATACTTTCATTTGCACAAGACTTTGGTTTTGACGGGAGACTCTATTGAACCCAACTGAACCTCTCATGTACAAAGGCCATCAAAAATGGAAGATTCAGATGGGTTCAGTTGAGTCTCTTACCTAACCTACTCTGCTTAAAGATAGAGTTGAAATACTCAGTCGGCGCTTGTGTCACTAATTTGTCTCTGTGTGCGAGAAAGAGATCACCACAACTAAGTGGGGTGAGTTGAGAATATTGATCAGTTTCAAAAATGATGCTCACAAGGGAATTAACTTGAAACCCGTTGCTTACATTACATCGTCTTACGAAGGCGTGTGAAGACGCAACCCGAATAAAGCAAGCAGGATTATGGTCGTCAAGTAGCAGAGCAACGACATGTGTACGAGTGCAATGAAGTGAAGGCATCAGTTCGTTGCAAGACCGTCTTTTGTTGCGTGACACAAACATATATGTCAGGGTCACTGACCATTCGATCATCTCGTCCATGGTTCTATCCGGGGATACCACAACTAAAAACGAGACGGACTTTCATACCTTGCTGTTAGGTCATGAAATGACGGCCCCTGGGTTATCTCCATTCGATGTAAGGCTGGGAAAAGAGGGCTCTACGAGGTAAACTGTCGTCAAACTTACGAAGCACATTGCCTGTCGAACGTAACCTGTGGAGTGTAGTCAGTTGATTAATCGACGCAGAATGAAATTTCTCGGAGATCATCTGGCTTACTCCAGCGTTACTCATGCACTTGTCCGATCAGACTCGTGCAATGCTTCGGAGGGGCCGATGGTCAAACACGGAAAGTCTTCGGGGGTATTCCACACGCAATTACCATCTCTCATATCCGTAATGTAGGATAAAACGGGTCGCGGTATTGTACACTTCGGACATTCGAGCCGATGTCACTTCGGCGCCACAAATGTCAGGGTATGGTGTACGCTGCCCTGACCTTCCAAATTCGGGAAGTAATTTCTTTCGCCAGACCTCTGAGACGTATACAGGTGCCCAGGTGAAAAAACTTACCTAACATTTCGATTGATTTACCTGCAAGCATTAGGTCTGGGTTTGATCCGACCCAATCTTGCAGTAACAGTTTGTACTTTACGCGTACGAAGCGCACATTGAACTATGCAGCAGAATCACTGGGGTTATTTAAAATAGCATAATATCCGAATGGTTTGATTCAAGAGGAGCAGTATCGTCAACGTATTCAATATCGGACGTGGGCGAACGTCTCGGAGTACTTCGATCACCGAGGTGGTAGAGACAGGTACAGAAGACCCATTTAGCTACGAGGTTAGAGAGGGCGGACAACAAAGGATATCTCCACCGTAGGTACGTACGTACAGGAATCGTGTACAGATAATAATTTAGGGGAATGCCACAGTTTCTGACTATCAACGAAGTTGGAAGCAGATTTGGGACTGAGAAAGACAGTCATTGTTGGTTGTCGGGAGTGGTGTAGCCCCGGAACTAATGACAAAGTGACAATATGATCGATGCAGCCCTGGCCAGGGCGAAACGTAGCTTGGTGCTCTCTCTAGATTATGAATCAACCTTCGTAGGATAATGCCCTAGAACACCTCGGAAGTTATAGCCACTAGGTTGATGCTCCGGAGGTTTTTACACGATGTTCTTGCATCCTTTTAGAAAGTAGGAAGCACCATTGGGACGCTCCATTCTGTTGGAAGTTATCCCCCATTTCAAGCATTTTGTGGTAGGGTCGTTAGTTTAGTTCACCAACTCCTTTGAGGAGTACAAGACTAGATGCTTTGTTGCGCTGAATCAATGAGATTCCACGTTGGACTTCCGTCGTCGGTGTCGGACAGATGTCGATATCCCACTCGGGTTCTGCTACTTCTTCCAGAAGGTGAGTTGATGCGGCCCAGATGATCTGTTCTTCCAAGAATCCAGCTCATCCTTCAAGACTTTTCTGCGAATGGACCAAGATCCTAATCTTTTCGGAGATCGTTTCACTAAATTTCACTCTCCTCGGACTAGTTGACCGGATTATCCGGAAAAGGGTGCGGTTGTTTCCCGCTGCAAAAGACTTCTCAATTTCCCGGGCTTTTGCAACACAATAGCACTTCCCATTAGTCCTATCAACTCAGCTTTATATTGCTGAGCAACAGAGGCACTTTGCAGGTGGTGAACTGAGGGTCTTTGCATCAACCGGCGCGTTCACGATGGAAAGTGAGTAGATACGCGTACCGCACAATACCGTGACCGGATTCAAGTTGGGTACGAGTGGAAACTGACGGGGCTGTTAACTCAATCACTGTGCTTGCATCTTGGATTCTCGTTTCTGAGACACAGCACACATCAACGCCAAGCGAGCCCAGTGTGAGTGCAAACGCAGCTTGCTGTCCTGCTTGTTTCAGAGTGCGAACATTGAACGCGGCCAGTAAGACAGGGTGTCGAGGCTTGAGGACTGATGTGGAGATTCCTGAAAATGTCGGCGCCATTTGGCACGCAAAACCGGTACATGCCGAACGGAAACAAGCAGGACAACAAGCTGCTCTTGCACTCACACTGGACTCGCTTGGCATTGATGTGTGCTGTGTCTCAGAAACGAGAATTCAAGATGCAAGCACAGTGATTGAGTTAACAGCCCCGTCAGTTTCCACTCGCTTCCGGCTGCGCACCTCTGGTGATCCAGAAGCTGCTGCGGTGCGACGTGCAGGGGTTGGTATTGTGCAGTCACCGGTTGGAAATATCCTTACTTGACTGGATGCTTGTTGATAGTCGCCTTTGTGCGGTTTGTCTGGCAACGTCTGTGAAGGAGTATCACAAGCGACAAGTTGATAGATGTCTGTTTATCGTGTCTCCCTACGCCCCAAATGACTGTAGATCCGACGCCGTCAAAGACAGGTTTTACGACGCCTTGAATGCTCTGCTGCAGCGAGCTAAAAGCTCAGACATTGTGGTCGTTGCCGGAGATATGAATGCGCAAGTGGGCAGGCTCAGTGCATCTGAGACTCAATTGGGAGGTCGACATGGACTGGACTCGGTACGTACGGACAATGGGGAACGATTGCTTCAGCTGTGTGCTGATC